AAAACTTCATCGTTTTCCTCAGTAAAGTTCTAGCAACCATCGTTGGGTACAAAGGCTGTGATCTTCTTGCCATTCTTGATTAGCTGGACCCTGATACACTTTCTGATGGCAGAATTTGGTTGTTTGGCTTCGACACCTGCTTTCTCCAACACAACCCCCTTGGCATGGGAAGCACCTCCAAAAGGGTTGGCCTTGAGGGCTGTACCCAAATGGGCTTTCTTATACTGTTTATCATGCCATTTCTGGTCCCGTCGGTGACTGCGGAGCTTCCTGGCAGTACGAAGACCGCGACACTTGCCCATCCTGACGGCGCCACAGGCCGGAGCAAAAGAACGAAGCAGCCCAGGCCATATTGATTTTTTTATTCTGCAACTTTGCTGAATTTGATTACTCCCAATAGTTCTGTTTTGTTTTTGATTTGTTTTGCATGTGTGTGTAATCTTTAGTGATCCTACATATAAGTTCATGCCTTCTGCAAACAAATAATTTAACTTCTCTCTTTCCAATCCAAAATACTTCTTTTCCTATCTAATTGCTCTGGCTAAGACTTCCCATCCTATATTGAATAGAAGTGATGAAAGCTGGTGTCCTTGCCATGTTCCCGATCATACAGGAAAAGCTCTCAGTCTTTCCTCATTATCAATGTTAGCTTTGGGCTTTTCATAGATGGTCTTTATTATGTTGAGATAATTCCCTTTAGGACCAGCAGATGGCATAATAGTTATGTTTCTGGACTCCCAGTTGACCATAGTTCAAGTCCTGGACCCAGTGGCTTAAAACTCACACCAGGTGCATGTGTGTGTGTTTGCACCCAAGATCCCAAAAGGAGACTGGAGAAGGGACTGTGGCGTGGCCATCCCCCTCAGGGGGTGATTTCTCACTTTCTGTATCTCTTTATCTCTCTGTCTCTCTGGAAAGCACAAGCACCCTATAGCAATAAAAAGAACTCTCTTAAAAAAAAGCAATAGTTTTCTTCTATTGCAAGTTGTTGAGTGTTTTAATCACAAAAAGGAGTTGAATCTTGTCAACGGCATTTCCTGCATCAGTTGAAATGATCATGTTTTATCCTTCGTTTTACTAATGTGATTTATTATGTTGATTTTAATATGCCGAACTATCCTTGCATCCCGGGAATAAATCCCACTTCGTTATGGTCCCAATAGCATATTACTGATTAACAATGGTCATTATCCTGACATGCTCTGTGGCCTTATAGTTAAGGCAGCTGGACCCCACGTGACTGACTACACAGTTCTAGTACTGAAAGGAAGGAGCGATGGAGAAGGGACTGCAGCATGCCCATTCCCCACAGGGAGTGCTTTCTCCCCCTTTCTCTCTCTAGCAAGTGCATGCACCCTCTAGCACACGCACACAAGGCTTATTATCCTTTTAATATGCCGTCAAATTTGGTTTGCTAGTACCACACTAATCTTTTCTGTATTGTTCTTAGTATAAGCCCCGGCAAAGGAAGCAGTCTTGTAGCTTTATTTTTAAAATGGGGCATCGTGTAAAAATACTTCCAATTTCAGTTATCAAGTGAGTAAATGTCTTAAGGGCCAAGAATGCTTGAAGCACAAAAATTAAGACACACATGGACTAATTCTGTGGATTGTTTTCCCTTTTCTTTTTCTTTAATTTGTCAGAGGGTGCATGTACTTGCCAGAGACAGAGCGAAAGAGATCAGGGGAGAGACAGAGAGAGAATGCATTCCCCCTCCCCTCCAATAAGGTATAGCTAGACTGCAATCCCTTCTCCTCCATTTCTCCATTCTGTCTAGATTTGGAGTACAGATGTGCACTCACCCTGCATGTTTCTGCTGACTGTTTTCTTTGAAGAATTGGGGGTCATCACCTACACAATACATTTCAATCTGAAAGTCAAACAAGACTGTCTCTTTGGAAGGTGCTGTGAAACAATTTAGCCCATAAACAGCATCAGGATTTGCAGGTTCTGTAACATTACAGGAAGCACGTTTGTAAATAAATTGTTGAAAATTAAAAATGCATATATGAGTAAGATGTACCAGGAATTCAGATGGGATGCAAAAATTTTCCATGGGATGCAAAAATTCAACCTTTAAGATACTTAAAATACAGCCCTCTGTGGCCCACCTAATGCATGCCCTAGGGTGCCACTGGCTGCAGGGCACCACTGCCTGCTGGAGCCATAAGGGGAGGCCTGGGCCCCAGATCCACCTAGACACCAACAGGTGTGCCGTCATCCTGACCAGCTAGAGAGCTGGGGGTGGAGGGCAGCTTGGCAAGATCCTGTCTGGGGTCCCAGCCTCTATCACTCCCTTCCATAATAGGAAAAAAAAATCTAGCAAACATAATAAAACAATAAACCCCAGCTCCTTCTACCTAGTTAGGTGCAGAACTTAAAGCATCTGCCTGAGAAAATTCAAGGTTTTGCGCCTAACAGCCTTAAGTGCCATTTAACAAATGCAAATGGACCTCACAGGGACCAATCCCTCCCTCCCTTCCCATTGCTGGTGACGTTTCACTTCCCTAATTCTACTGTAGTCACTCCCCTCAACCTCCCCATCTCTGCCCCAGCCTCCACAATCCTCCCCACACTTTACTCTCTCATTATCCCTTGTAAAGAATCGAAGTTGACTTCAGTTCCTTCGCCCCTACAACAGCACTTTTTAAAAAGCTGTCCTTACCGCTGTAACTAGCGTCCGGCTTTATGGTTTTATCTGTGACAAGTGCTTAGGGCTGATTTATTTTTCGGGCTGCGTGGGGACTCTAACACATGTGGGTGGCACTCGGGAACCTGAGGGACATGAATCTTTGAAGAAAAGTCCAGGGGCCACACTGACACCAGTTAAAGGTCTCACCATTCAAGAGATTTGCGGGGTCTGACGTAAAGCGGGGAAAACGCTAACAGGTGGTCGCCACAACCACGGAGTGCCAACTTCCTGAAAGTATCCCGCTACACTGGGCCCAGACCGGGTAGAAGGAGGAAGTGAATCTCGCATCACCTCGCAGATCCAGGAGAGATACAAAATGGAAGCCTCGAACAAGAAGCAGACATCGCAGAGACGCCTCTGCTCCGCGCAGGTTCTGCTCCCGCCGAGCTCGCAGCGGCAGGCAGCAAGGTGTCGCGACGGCGCATGCGCTGTGTGCCGCGTAGGCCCGCCGCTCCGCGCCTGCGCAGTCGTGGACTCCCCTGGCGTCTGGGAGCTGAGGCCACCAGTGGGGTCTTGTGGCTCGAAGTCAGTGATGCTTGGGCTTACAAAAATGAATTCACATCTGCTTTTTTCCTTTTATTAAATTAAATCTAGACACACCCAGGATGTGGTGGGCACCTCGGAAATGACTCCCTCCTTTGACTCCCAAAGAATGCAGAATTATGAAATTGAGTAGTAGTTCATTAGAAGAAAGAAAAGGAAGACAAGGGAGAGTTTCTCTCTCTCTCTCTCATGCCTACTTATGTACAGAGTAATCTCAAAGTATGAACCAGCAACAAAAAACTGATTCCTTCAGAAGAGAAGAAACTGGATGAGAAGGAACTCAAGGATGAGGATGAGAAGAAAGGAGCTTTGTGTTCCCGTGTTGGAAATGTGTCCATTGTGCATATATTTTTAAAGAGAGCGTGTTGTTATAGGGCACGTGCACTCGCCAGAGGGACAGAGACAGACAGAAAGTGAAAAATCCCCCCTCATGGGGAATGGCCCCGTTGCAATTGCTTCTCCATTCTCCGGGGATTTTAGGCGCTTGGACCTACCCGGCAGGTCCAAGACTCCAAACGTGGTCGATTACGTGGGAGTTCAGCGATGTAACCCTTGCGCCCTCTGCTGGTCCCGCATGTATTATTTTTTAAGGGTTCGAATGTTCCTTTGGTTTCTTTATCACAATGTGGGCACCAAAGAAATTCGGAATATAAACAGTTTAAGTAGAATTCTGTAATGCTGGGTTGCACTTTCTGTATGTGTGAAACTAAACCATCTGTGTAAACTGCTAAGTCTTCCTGTTTATTTCTGGGCCAAAAAGAAAAAAAAAAAAAAAGCCAGGCATTTTTTGAGCATCATTGGCAGTGGTGGCCTACAGGAAACTAAAGTCTTTATCATCTTAATCATTGTGTGTCCGTTTTGAATTTGCTGAGGAAAATTAAAAGGTAAGTTTTAGTGAAAGCTCACTGAACAGGTTGGAAGGGGACATTTGATACCTATTTTTGTTAAGGATATGAACTGGATGTGACTGGCATGGCAAACACTGGAAGTTCTTGGGACCAGCAGCAGATAACTGGACTCCCACAGAGTCAACCACCATTTGAGTCCCAGACCCAGTGGCTTAAAACTTATACTAGGGGCATGTGCATGTGTGCCCAAAATCCCAAGAGGAGAATGGAGGAAAAGAGATTGCGGCGTGGCCATCTTCCTGGGGGGTGATTTCTCATTTTCTGTCTCTCTGGTGAATGCATCTACCCTCTAGCAAAAATCTCTCTTCAAAACAAAATAAAACAAAACACCCTGAAGTTCCTCTAGATAAGAGAAACTTCCCTTGGTGAGAATGTCCTGACTGCTTATGGCATATTTCTGCCCTGAACCTTGTAAGATAACTTAGAACTCCCTCCTCTAAAGTAAGTAGTCAGGAAAAAAACTTTAAAAAGGAAATTGTGTCTAAGAGGATTTGCAGACAAAAAGTTCTTGCTGAAAGTAGACCTGAGATGCTTCGTATTCACTGTAGAAAGTTGAACCGGTTGAATTTTGTTCACTGGTAGGAGGTTAATAGATCTAGGCAGAGATAGGAATTTGGGGCCAGAGGTTGATCCAAAGAGTTGAAAGTATCAAGTCAAAGGTCAGAGGTTTTCATTTGTTGTCTCTGAGTTCACCTTGTTTAAGTTCCCAAATGAAATAATTTAGAAATAATGTTTCTTAACTGCAAAAGTACATCTACAAAGAAATAAATGAAACCTAGAAGTTAATATAGCTATCTGACTGAGCAGTGCCTAGGGGTAGAAATTCCCCTGCAGAGGAGAAAAACCACATCACAGAAGAGCATACATGGTAAAATTTATTTAAAAAAAAGAAAAATAATAATTTATGCTCTTGGCAAAATATAGGATCTTGTCAATATAAATGTTTCTTAGAAAAAAATATGTTAAGATAATATAGAATATATTAATAATCAATATTAATATTACAGCAAAAGTAGTGATGATTCTATAACAATGACATGTGAAGATATTTCCGCCCCTTACACAACAGTATTTCTGGAAGATTCTGCAGATCCTTTCCTCTAGTACACAGAGGAAAGCCGGATGCACACAAATCTAAATTTAGGAAGTCAATCAATTGAAGGATACTTATTTGCATCACAAATAATTCTTTGCCAACAAAAACCAAAAAGGTTTCTGTCAGGAATCCTTCAAATAGTAGGTGTTCCTAATGCATTTAGAATATAATTAACCAAATAAATATGTTCTCAATTTCTTTCCGGTTACACCTCTATTGCGTAAAGTGAGGTATACCTGAAGTGAGGCAGTAACAGAGTTGAGCTTCAGACCTGACTAGAGAGTGTGTTCTCACCTTAAAATATGAAGAAGTAATTGCGGGTACAAGTTCTAACTCGTTTCTGTCATCCTGACCTTTTATTTTCTTGTCTCAACTGCCTTCTGGTCAATTTTTTCACCTTTTACTCTCAGGTAAGAAGGAGGAAGTCCTACAAGAGGGGGGCAGACTAATGAATTAGCGAGTCACTCCAGCAGAGCACAGCAAGGGGGTGATCTGGGATTCAGAGTGTATGTGGATGTGACTGGGGGAAAGCAGGAGTATTCCTGAGCCTTTGGCATGGTGTTTATGAGACCCTCTCTCCCAAGAGAGGCATCTGACTCCCTGAGGAGCTTCGGGGCCCAGTCCAGCTGTTCTCAGATGGGACACATAACCAGGAGAGCGGATGCAGGCCTATTTATCGCACTCCTCCTGGCTCCCTTCAGCGCAGTGGTAGTGCTGCTCGCAGAACTCCTGGATCCGGCTACAAGCCTCCAGCATCATCACTTCAGGGACGGTGATCACCACTCGGAAGAAGTTCGGGTACTCGAAGCACTGCAAAAATAAGGGCCAGTTATTTTCAGAACAGTTGAATCTACTACTGGACTCCCCTAAAATGGCCAGGGCCCTAATCAGCTAGAAGCAATGATGGCATTTCATTGGACTGTCACTTCCTTCGGTCCCCATCACTGGAGGGCTAAGTCAGTAACTGAGATCATTTGGAGAGTCTTTGTTTTTTTTTGTTTTTTTTTTGTTTGTTTGTTTGTTTTTTTTTTGCTATAGGGCACTTGCACTCGTCAGAGACAGAGAGACAAAAAGCGAGAAATCATCCCTCCCCCCCAGCGGGGATGGCCATGCTGCAATCCTTTCTCTTCCATTCTCCTCTCAGGATCTTGGGTGCACACGCATGCACACACGCCCGGCGTGAATTTAAGTCACCAGGTCCAGGACTCGAACTGCAGTCGACTACATGGGAGTCCAGTGACATAGCCATTACACCAACTGCTGGTCCCCCGGAGATCATTCCTCTTAACAGGGGCTTGTGGGAAAAGCTTGACTTCCTCTCACCTAGAATGCTGGTTTACAACTTTTCTGCCAGTATGGATGGGATGGTGATGGGGGAAAAACAAACTATAAATAGAAGCCATGAGGCACATCAGTTTGGATTTTATCAAACAAAAAATACATTTTGTTGTTGTATGGGAGAAAAGGCAGGCTAAAAACCAGCTCAGGGAGAGTTCCCGGGGCTCTAGAAACTGTTGAGAGTGTCCTGAGAGTGCACCCACCGTTGCTGGGAGGCACTGGACAGATTGCTCAGCGACTAACCGCTCAGTGAACTCCACATCATTCTCGAATTCTGGGAAATGTTCCATCTCAATTCCAACCTGTACCAATGGCAGAAGGGAGAGGCACACTTATCAGAAGAAGGGAAAACAGACCAATTTCCTATGCCAGAAATTAAGGTAGGGACTACTCTCAAAGGTATCTTGGAACTCTGCTACTGATAACTGAGAGTGCTCACACATATGAACTCCTACGAGATTTTTTTTTTGCAGGGAAGAGAGGACATACTTATATTAATGTTTTAGTTTATAGGAGAGTTCCTTCCTGGCTGCTGATAGATTAAAGTTGGAAATAAAATACCAGTGTTTCTCAAGAAAGGCACTGTGAGCATTAGAGTCAGGCCATTATTGTGTGGGACTATCTGAGCCACGGCTAGATATATAGGATCCTTGGCCCACAAATGCTGATAGTACCTCCCCATCATTCTGGAAACCAACAAAACCCCCACACATTCTCAAACATCCCTAGGGCACCAGCATCATTCCCAGTGGGGAACTACAACGGTATTGAAAACTTTGCGTACGGCTCCCTTGTGTTTATGTCTAAAATGAACCACAATCACAACCGTGGGACAGTTCAGAATAAGGCAATTTGTAAACGGATGGCACAGGAAGCTAGCTGGCTGTTTTTGTGAACGGTGGCCTTCTCTTTACAACACTCACAATTCTACTGCCTGCCACCTATATGCTTACCATGAGGTACATGGCCCCAGAAGGGCGGACTGGCCGGAGTCCAGGAACGGCAGCCAAGGCCCCATAGCAGAGGTCAGCATTAGACTACAAGAGGAAGCAGAGAGAAATCAAGAATTAATGTAAGTAAAAGAAAAACCAAGTCATTAAAAGTAGAGCCCTTGGGCTCGGAGGTGAGGTGGTGGTTAGGGTGCTGGATCCCACATGGCTGACTCTGCAGTTTGGGTTCTAGACCTAGTGGCTTGAAAATCACAATGGGCATGTGTGTGGGTGCCCAAAGTCCTGAGAGGAGAAGGGATTGCAGTATGAGCACTCCCCTCTTGCGGGGTGATTTCTCACTATCTCTGTCTCTCTCTCTAGTGAGCACGCATGCCCTATTGCAAAAATCTAAAAAGGAAAAAAATTAAAAAGAGCCCCGACTGAAGCTTGGAAACATAGATTTGATCCTCTGGCATAAGAAATCAAGAAGATAACCCTCCTTCACTTGAAGTTTTCAGCCAAGAGCAGAGTGAATTGCCAAAACGAGAGCAATGTAAGGAGGAAACTTAATGCCACCACCTGATATGGAAGCCCTGTGTTGGAACATTGCTCCAGGAATGAGAATCAATGATTCCGAATTCCACGGATGGCATGTTGTGACTCCCCAACTTCCACAGTGAAAGGCCACAGGCTGCCCTTACCTTGAGGAAGCTCAGAGTGTTGTGGTAGAACTCCTGAGGGGTGCGACGCAGGATGCTCTTCAGAGCTCCCTGGACAACGGTGCAGGGTCCCAAGATCCGCTGACTCAGCTTCACCAGCCCATCTCGGATCTGAAAGCCCCCACCAGCAAGCACATTATTCCGTTTTTCTTAAGTGTCCCTGTGTGGGAGATTCTTGTTCTAACTTTTCTATCAGGTGTTTTAATCTTGGCAAGTGGACTTCTTAGGTCAGACCACCTGGTTTGTAGTCAGTTCTGTCACACGCCTGCTTTGTGACTCTGGGAAAATCATGTAACTCCTCTTTGCCTTATTTTTCTTAACTGTAAAATGGAGGTGAGGGCCAGCCAGTGGTGTGGTGGTCAAGGTGACTAGATTCCACATGACCAACTGATTAGTTCGATTCCCGGACTCAGTGGTTTGGAAAGCACATCTGGCACAAGCATGCGTGTGCCCAGAATTGCAAAAGGAGAATGGAGAAGGGATCGAGGCATGGCCATCTGCCCTGGGGGTGGGGGGCTTTCTCTTTCTCTCTCTCTCTCTTTCTGGTGGGTGTGTGCTCCCTATAGCAAATGTTTTTCATTAAAAAAATAGAAACGATGGAGACGATGCTAATACTAGCCTCCTAGGGCTGTGAGGATTAAATTAAAATAGTGTAAATAAAGCCCTCGTATATTGTAAGCCCTTAGCTGTCACTGCTACTATTGTTTCCTTTTTGTGGTCTTAAAATCAAAGGTGCGTGGACCTTTTTCACAGAGCCAGATATATGAAAACTGAGTTTGGAAGAGGGAAAACTACTACAATATTTTGCATCTTTTCAGGCACCCTGAACTACACGACCAAGAAAAAAAAGAGGGGGAAAAATTCTACTTCATCACTACTGTTGTCGCAAAAATGCACACATATCCTGAGCTACACACCACATCTCACCACATGGCTCTCACCTCATTTCCGAAAATGTCTCTTCGGTCATGGATTAGGATCCAGCCCAGCCTCCAGCCAGGAACTAGCCAGCGCTTAGCCAGCCCGCCACAAGACAGGATGGGGACGTTGGTGCTAAGGGTAGCCAGCGGTTCATATTTGCAATCTGAAAACACCTGAGGGGAAGAGGTGTTTGTTGTAGACCCATAGGCTTAGATCTCATGCCTCCCACCCTTTTCCTTCTATTACCGAGGACTCGGATTTATGAGCCCCTCCCGGCCCAGCGTGACTGGGATCCCAAGACGCTTTGAAGAGGACTACCCACAGACATTTAATCTGGTGTCCAGTCTGGATTCAAGGAAACTAAACTGAGAAAACTGACCCTAGCCCAGTAATAGGTGCAACTCCATGACGCTGACTCTGTGGGACTAATGACTATTGGCATTACACATTTTAAAATACAATGTAGGTCCACAATCCCTTCTCGGAAATTTCAGGTTCCAGATCTGTGGCAGAATGCAGCATTGTTCGGACATTGGAAAGGCTATGTAACACGTCTACCCTACACTGTGTAAGACCCCCAGAGTAATCTAGGATGGTACCTCTAATCGAAAATACTAACATCTTCGCCAC